TGTCAGGATGTTTCTTGCTTCCTGAACATGCATATTGCCTGATTTGTAGCTATTTATGAATGCCTATATGGTTGGGGTGTTGGGGGTTTTTTGCCTTCACCACTCCTGTGTCATGAAGGAAAGAGAAGGCCCTAACACTTTAATACTTGCTCTCAGTTCCATGAGTGATGATAGTCACCTCTCCCTTTTCTTTTGTTCCTCAGTAAGCTGTACTCTGTGCTTAGGTTGTCTTCACTTCCCTCCCTACCTCCTTGCTGTTTGTTACTTTATTCTGAGGGTCTATGAAGCTTTGGCCTCCCAGTGGGAAAGGCAGTATCTGGATCTCCAGACTCACCCTTGGCTCAGAGATTGTGCTGTGTGTGTGATGGGTATATGTGGCCCATTTGACATTCTAGAACCCGCCTGGCCATCACCACCCTACCCCAGCCTCTGATGCTGCATCTTCAGACCTGGACTCATACATGTCCTTGGGTTGCCTTCCTGGGGGATTTCTGAATTTACTCCAAAGTCCTTTCTGCTATTAATTTTATTTTGCTTTTGGAGTCTGCCAGGCTAGTCCTGACTTTTCTTTGCTCTCTTCTTGGAGAGGGGCAGGGAGCTTTAAGGAGGGAGCTTTCAGGGGCCATACTGCCATATTTTTTGTGGAGGTTCCCTATGTCCCTGATCAGAGTTGAGTCTGCCCAGCTTCCCCCACCCTTGGATGGGCCAGGGCCCCTCCTGGTGACATAAAAAATTCATCCATGGAATTTCACATTGTTTTGGGTTCCCCTGTTGTGGCTTGGTACATTTCCCCAAGTCTGCCACACTCCCCCGTGTTGCCTCCTATTCTCTCTTCCAACCCTCAGTTCTTCACTCCCTGGTGAAGTCCTGGGACTGTGTAGCCTACTCAAAGCATATGGATTTTACTTAGAGCTCATGTCAATTCATTTTTATAGTTGTTTTCAGGGAAGAAGTTGATTCCAGCGTCTTCAACAATGTTGTGGCTGGAATGTATGGAACACTTTCATGTCAGGTAGTGCTGTGCAATGTCCAGCAGTTACAAACATTTTAGAAAAGAATGCCTCCAAAACCAGCAAAAACTTGAGATACACTGCAGACATACCTTGTCACAAGGAATTTTCTCTAATTTGTTTCCGTGGGCTGTGTTGAAGTCAGTGATTTGTACATTCTGTGGCTTTTTTTTTTCCTCTTTAAATCAGCTCCCAGACTTCTGAGAACTAAATGTATGCCAGAGCTGAGTCAACTTTTCCTCCCTTTTGAATCAGTTTGTTTCTTGAGTTCTGTCTCTTTCCCAAAACTACAAGTTGTTTGTATCACAATTTGCAATCCAAGGTGGAATCAGACTCCCTGGGGTCCAGTGGCATCCTTGACACTAGGGATCTCACCATGTTCAACTCTGACCAGGGAAACTGGGAACCCACACAAAAATGGTACACTCCTTCTCATTGTCAACCACCCTCCTGCCCCACCCCAGTCTTCTCTGCTCACAATCTCTTCCCCAGACTTTCTTCCTGAAACCTGATGGAGCATAGTGGCTCCCCTGCAGCCTGCACAGTGGGAGGCTGTTTCGATGTAAGTAGCCAAGTGTGTATTTCACATCCAAGTGTATATTTCACACATAATTTCCCATAGTTCTTTCTTATTTTCGCTCTTAGAGGATCTTCTAAATTTGGGTAGCACAGTGCTATCAAAACAATTCAGTCATTCTAGCATTCAGAAATGCAGAGTTCATTGTAGAACTCCCGAGATCTGTTTATTCATACAAGGCTGGCTACTGCTTAGCTCTTAGCTAATCTTTTACGGTGAGATGCTACCAGTGCTGCTTTGCTTGTTACACTGCATTGGTAAGTTCCATTATTGATGAACCCATAGTTCAATATCAGGACTAGGTGGTATGAGCACCACAGTATGCAATATAGAAAGCAAGTGCCAGCTCTTCCTTCAGTAGATGGCTGTTACATAAATGAGAACACAAATGGGAGGTGATGACCATCACCACATGTCACTGAATCCTATCAGTTCTACGAAGCCCAAGTCCCCCATATAATACGAGGAGCAGCTGGTAGGAGAGTTTTAGATGGGACAGATCTGCTGGAAATGGATGCTTCTGGGCAAAAGAAAACAGGAAACCTAGTGAGGGCAAAGGAGTATTTTTTTAACCAGGTCTTTACTCCTTTATTGATATATGCAGATGATTGATGCCCAAGTAGCCCCTGCATTAGTGCAGATTGGTTGTGTGACAGTGGCTGCTTTTAATGAAATCAAGAGAACAGTTTTGGTTTTGCTTGGCTTCAAATCAGTTTCCAGTAGTGCAGAAGTAAATGCTCATCTGTTATCTCTGCCCACTAATGTGAGCTGGTGGCGGCGCCCTCCAGTAAGCGGCCTGGGCTGCAGAGCATGTTTTTTGTTGTTGTTGTTGTTTTCTTTCTTTCAGTGAGTAGAGCTTAAGAGACATGGCAGAGCTGGCTACTGGTGTGTAAATGAAGACTGGAGCCTGAGTGCTGTGATCCAGCTCTCCCTTTCCTCTTGGAGTTTCCTGGGGTTTTACCTATGGCTCTTTATTTTCTTATTCAGGATCCAGTATGCAAAGACTCGAGTTTTCAGTGAAAGAATAATTCTTTTGCTTTTGTTTTTTTAAAGCCCACATAGCATTTCCTGATTCCATTCAATTTAACTGTAAGATTAAAAAAAAAAAACCCAAAGAGCTGTATTTATAGGTACTGGACTCAGTATAAAACAGTGCCCATCACAGGGACATTGTTCTGGTCTTGATTTCAAAGCAATCAACTGAGCAAGGCTCCTGGGGTTGGTACATGAATCAGCACTTGGCAAAGAAGAGTTGAAACCTCTACTCCAAATTCTGAGTGACAGAGAGCTTCTAAACAGGGCTCTGTTCATAGTTTTAGGTATCTGTGATTTACTTGGCTTTGACAGACAACAGGAGCTTTGGTTCAGTTATATTTTTAACATTCCCTAAAAATAAATCAGAGTGTTCCTATTTGGGATGGAATGGGAGCAAGTACAGTGGAGGAAATGGAGGACTGACAAGTGCGGAGTACCTGGGGTGATGTGCTGAGCACCGTGCTGGACGGTTGCCCTAAATTTATTATTTATTTATGTATTTATTTGGACTGCACATAATAGAAACTTCCTCTGGCTAGCTAAAGGGAAAAACACAAGTGGTGCTGGCATATTGGAGGAATATTGGGTAACTCATAGAACCCAAAATTCAGGGAAGGCAGGGCCAGGGGGCTTGTGACCTTAGGCGTTGAAGAATGTCCTCCCAATAGATAGCAACTAATGTTACTTTCAGATGACTGTCTGCTGGAGGCCCTACTTAGGTCAGATCTTCCCTGGTGGACCAGTCCATCAAGGTCTGAGGGGAGAATAATATTGTTCACCCCACTGTGTATGGGCAACCCTACCTGTATTTTGTGGGCAGTTCCCCAGGAAGAGGGCCTTACTGTTTATCAGTGGTCACACCAATGTCTACTATAAGGGGCTTTTCACAAGCTTAATTTAACTTTCACATCTAAGCTATGGAATCACTATTTCACCTCACACACCAGGAAACTAACAACCAATAGATTTAGGCACCTTCTGCTGGTTAGAATGTGGCGGAGCTAGAATTCCAAGTAGATTATAAGGAGGGATAGTTTCCTTCTAAGGGATTAAAATGTGACAGATATACATGGGATAGAAGCTTTCAGATATTTTCTTATAGTGAGAATGATAGGTGTGTACAGGTGCTGGAAAGAGTAAAACCATGTGCTGAAAGCACTAGCATTGAATCTCAACTCTACCCTGTCACCTGATTCTCCACTGGTAAATATAAATAGAGCATCTCCTTCAGGGGGCTGTTGGGGTCACGTGGGAAAATACCTTGCAGCAGATACTCATTTTGGAAGGAAAAGTATATTGTACAAATAGACTGTCAAATAGGGTGTTGAAAATGGAGTTGCAGTTTGATAGTAAAAAAGCTAACTCCTTTTTTATCAAAATGGTGCCTTATTCACCTGAACATAATGAGCAGGGAAAACTAAGTGAAAAGAGTTAAGGAAATCATGGATGAAGTTTTACAGGCTGCTCGACAACTTCTCTTTGAGATGCTGGGCTTACATTTCAGGGGAAAACTTTCTTCTGTTGTAGTACAATACGTGGTCATACCTCTAGTGAATACTACCCGAGATAGTCTGTGAGCTTGGGAGAATCAGAGTGAAAAGAGAGTACATCACTTGTACATTACTGAAACACATTACTAGCTAATTTAGTCTGGCAGGATTAATGAGTTCAATAATCAATTCTGAGATTAGGTGAATCTTCTCAGATCTCTTGAATGACAGCTCTGAGTCATTCTGCTTTCATATTGCACACGGTGGGTGTTCTGAACTTGCCCTAGAGGGATCACTACCAAATAGTCCCAATTTACTGCAGTTGGCAGTCCACATAAGCAGCAAAGTTGGAGCCTCGCCAAATGGAAGAAGGAAAAGTCATTCCATGGTGCAAAGGGATATGTATTGTTCTATTCTTTAGACATCTCCACTATCTCGCTGAAACTTAGAATCAATGAACTGTGCTTCATTTTCATCTAAATAATACTCGTGGGGCTTGTAAAATAGCCCATCACTTTAAAATTGACATTCAAGTGATATTATATATTTATATATGTGTGTGTGTATATATTATACATACATATATATATGTATAAGTAAAATATTGTGACATTGGCTTGTTCCTGAATTAAAACCTCTTCTCTCTTTAGCATGCTCATTTTCAAGTCAGTGGTCTGTTTGCTTTTATTCTTATTTAAATGTATAAGAGAAAAGTAAGTAATTACTAATTTTTAAAGATTCTTGGTAAATATCACCTAAATACAGACATTTAGGTGAAAGTATGTATTATAGATATCACACTTGAATATAAAGGTTGAAGCAAAAAATTTTTAGAGACTAAAGCAAATATACGTCAAATATGGAGAAAAATAATCAAATGTGGTTTTGGAATTCTTTTAATACAATGAGAAATCCCAGACAAGTACAAAGTCCATTTAAAAGAAGCATTTCAGAAAACCAACTAAAACATTGCATGTTTGTACACATTTTAATGACAGCATTTGAGTTTCTATGTTAAAAATGATTTGCATTATTGGTGCATACTGCTCATGACAAGATATATTCTGAAGTGCTAGAAAGACTTCATATTTCCTATGCTTGAAACTGAATTGCTTCCTATAAATGACTGTTACAATCTATTTCTAGATTTAGCTGACAGTATGATTCATAAGGGGAAAAAAATGACTTGATTCGTAGTGGCTCTGAACACAGAAATAGGAGACAGGCATATGTCACATATATTCCCTTTAAGTGTACATCAGATCAAGGTTAAATTACATAATTTTAGTATTTCTGTTACTAAAATAATGGATCCAAAAGCAGAGGTTTGGTAATGTCAACATGATTCTCTGCCATGTCAGTGTCCTATATCCAAGTTAGGCAGATAAACAGGGTGATGTTGAAACTCATGCCCTTTCTACCCTCAAGTCAAATCCAGGTATGATGACATCCTAGCATCAGTAGCATCTTTGTGAAGCAATGAGTAAAGATATTCACTGCTTTTGCCAAATCCAGTGTATCAGGCCATCAGAGGCTCTACAGCTTGTTTAACTTTTACAGTGTGGCAATTTTCAGTGGCTTTTGAGTGACAGATACTTTCTGTTACTACTACTCCAACTACTAACATAATAGTCCATGTAAAGGAATAAACAAAAGAAAATAAATTTATTTATTTATAGTTCATCTAAGTACTGTTTTGGTTTATCCTTGAAGTAAAAATCAATTCTCCAAGGTTTAGAAAGAAAACAAAAGCATCTTTATAGTTCACAGCATGTATTTTAGGTCTAATGATTTATCCATTGCCAGTATGGGTTAGCGTGTCATGTTCTCTTTATTCAGTGTCAACTGGCTCCGTAGCTATTAAAGCACTTAACTGTTTCTGAGCACAGGAGAGGAACAGTTCCAAACTGGACAGGCTTCTCTGGCGAATGACTTGATCAAGCTGTTGAATTTTTTTGAGAGCAAGGGAGAGAAAAAGAAAAAAAAATATATGCTTAGTTGAGGGGTAAAGAATATTCTGCCATTGAAACCCATGAGAAAAAGTTTTTCAGAAAAGTCAGGGAAAAACTTTTAGAGAAGTCAAGGATAACATTGAACTTAGTAACAATGTAGTCACTGTTTCTGGCTTATCACTTAATATGGCATGATAGTTGTTAAAATTTCATTAATTGATGCTGGTATTCAGTTATTGAAAAATATCAAATCTGATCAAGATGATTCTAGAAAATATAAAATGGAATTTTGTTTCCTAATGAATGTGCAGGCCATATGTTCACTAAGATGATGTAAATATTACAGATGCAGAAACAAGAAAGACATACTACAAAAACAAAACAAAACAAAACAAAAAACAGCAAGTACATCCTGTATAGGGGCTTAGTAGAACAAAGTCTAAATGAAATAAACAAGTTTTAGAATTTAGAAAAAATCGTGGGAAAGGTGTACTCTAAGAAATACTTGATATTGTTAAATTTTTTCCCTTGAAATTTTAAATAAGACATTTAACATTACTGTATTTTTTTTTAAAGATTTATTTATTTGTGCATACAGAACTCAGGGGCGGTGAGAGGCTTCACCAGAGACAGAGCAGGGAACAGAACAGGCAGATCGACGAAGTACACTGCTGAGGGGAGCAGCGGGCGGGTCAGGAGAGGTCTGCCACGCCATGCGGTCACCTCCAGGGCAGGCGGGAATCGAACTCATGTGGAAGCAGCTTTAGTTTTTCAGTGCTGTTCTTTAACCAGCTGCACCACCTGAGGGCCACCTTACTGTATTTTTTATAAAAATATTAATGTGACAGTTGAATGTGTTTCTTTATATTTCATGGATTTATAAGTGTATAACTATCAGAATACATATATGGTCTTTCCTGATCTACCTGATGTGTTGTGTATGTATCAGATAGACTATACACTATATACAAATATATAGTCTATTCTGATATATCATGAACTCTTGAAAATTGTGCATCTGTTGAATTCCTGATAGTCCAGAGACTTTCACACACTGAAGTTTACTAGATTGAGGGCAGTATCTATTTGTTAAATGAGGTGACCATTAAGTAAATTATATTCATTGTAACATCTTATTAGTTAATTAGAAAAACAAAATGTCATAAATGTTGCATTCTCTTTTAAAAAATAAAGCCCATGCCTCAAGTCAATATGAAAGAGTTATGATCATAAATTATGAAAAACACAACACATTAAAATTATCATAAAACATGGTTAAAATCTTGTTTTTGACATTTAGTATGTGGGATACCTTGGCCTACAACAGAATTATAAAATTTAAGTATTGATAAGACATCCCCTCTTTTTAAAATTATTTCACTGAGACAATACTATTTCTCAACACAGTCTATCTATGTCTTAGGAGTGTTGACTTACACTGTCCAAATGTATGTTACCACACACCACACCCACCACCAAAGCATCAATAAGCCTCCCAACAGTGCACTGGGCCCCTCCGCCCTTGGCTCCTAACCCCTGTTCTGCAGTAATATTTCTAGGGCTTGTTTGGGTTTGGTCTTGCCAGTGCTTTTGCTTTCTTTCTCTATAGTCTACACATGAATAAAATCATGTGTATTTGTCTTTCTCTTTTTGACTTACTTCACTTAATATCCTTTCCTACACAACCATCTATGTTGTCACAAAGACAAGATTTCATCTGTTTTTATAGCTATGTAATATTCTTTTGTGTACATAAATATCCTCTTAATCCACTCATCTGCCCTTTGACATTTAGGCTATTTATGGAATTTGGCTCTTATAAATAGTGGTTCAGTGAACATAATAGTTAGTGCCTATCTTTTTTACTTCATGTTTTTATACTCTTTGCATAATACCTAAGAATGACATTGCTGGATCATATGGTAGAACTGTTTTTAGTGTTTTGAAAAACATCCATATTGTTCCTACAGAGGCTGGAGTAATTTACCTTCTTAACCAGAATCTGAGAGTTCCTTCTTCTCTACACTTTAGCCAATACTTGTTTTGCTGGAACTAAACTGATTTAGTCTTCCTGTTTAGAGATTTTGTTAGTTAGGATTATATTAATATGTCAATAACTAATATAGTGAACAAAACATGTGTATTTGATACAAAGGATATAGTACATTTATTATAATATAATTAAGATATGTAACACATATATTTGACACATTGTTCTTTAATAATACACATTGTGACATATGCATGTATATATAAAATGAGGGGTATATATATTCAAAAGCAATACATCACTTCTGAGAATAAACAGTATTCTTAACAATCCTGTTAAAATAAGCCATATCTGTTTGTAATTAACTTTTATTTTTTTCTTTACACCAGTATAAGTTCACCATCCTTTGTATTACTGTGATTTTTAGTCAATGAAAAGTAAAAGCTAAGGTCCACAGATTTTTTTTTCTTCTTTTGCTATGGCATAAAATACTAAGGGAAAGTTTAGTAATATAAGTCATATAGCAACTTCCTGAAAATTAATTATTATTGATTATATCAAGAAAAGTTTTTCTCTTCTGCTCTAAAAAAAGTGTGCATGATGGAAAAATACTGACCATAACACATTGTCTACAGACCAAAGAACAACTGAGGAACTCAAAGCCAAATAAGTTGAATTTCATAATATATACCATATTTATGTAAAAGGTGACAAATCCTTTCAAATGCTTTGCCTTTAAAAGTAAAATGAAAAAGAGCAATGATATGATAATTCTCTTTATCAGATTACACTTAATATGTTAAAAATGGGAGGCTAAAATTTTTAAGTATCCTAAAAATTAACAAGGAGTAATTATATTTGTAAACTTCTCAGCAGAAGAGCAAACTGTCCTAAGACTCCCTTCAGTTACAATATTCTGAGAATTCTTTCACAAACAGGCTTTTTTCTACTTCTGTTCCTTCTTCTCTTAAGTGATACTTTTAATTGAGCATATACCTCCTGCTTACACATGTGTGTAACCAAGCCGTCTGTTACAGTATAAACACCAGATCCCTAGACACTGCCTCGCTCACTCCTGTGCCCCAACATATAAAGGAGGTCTGGCACCCATTTCTATTTTTAAATAGTTGCTTGTTTTCCAGATATAGTTACATTTTAGTGTAAAAGAATATTATTTTATATAAAATTATTCTATTGATAGAGATTTAAATTGTTTGTAGTTTCTGTTATTTCAGTTAAAGCTGGAATGCATATCGGTCAGCACACAGTTCTGTGTTCCTGCACTAGTACATCTTACAGAAATTACTTGACCAAAGACTGTATCCCCCCAAATGCCAGTTCAATCCAATAAAGTGCAAAAACTAAGCAGAACTCAACCAAGGTATATTTTGAATTACATCAACTGGCAATAAAACATTCCATTTTTAAGATAAGAAAATTATGCAGTAAAACAGAGAATAATTATGTTTAGGGTGGGCCAGGTGCTGTGAGCTACTCCTTATCTTGGAGGTGGTATCATGGGTGTTTGCATCACTAGTATGAGTTGGAACTTCTGCAGAGCTGTCATGCATTAGCTTTCATACCTCATGGTCATTTACAACCCCACAGAACAACAGGAGCACCACTTAAAACAATCTTGACTTGCTAGTTTCAAATTTATGAGCTCAAGGTGAAGGAGAAAGTCTGTCTTTTGAGGTATGATCTACTGGAGACAAGAATCACTGGGCTGTGCATTCAGAAGCAGCAGTAGTATTTTAAAAAACGAGCCTCCATCCAAGGGCAAAGAGTTTGGCCATTTTTTTGCCTGGATGCCCAAGCACTTCTCTCCTGTTTTGCGCGCAGTCACTGTGGGCTCGGTGACCATGAGGTAACAGACACTGCCAGGCTCCTTTCACAGCTTTCAGCATACCTGCTCTGGCCTTCCAAAGGGCCTGCTAAGTAAACACAACCCCACACTCCAGGGCACAGTCAGGAGACACCAGCACTGAGGAGGACGCTCCGCAGGACCATCACCTGAAGGTGGCTGCTCTTCCTTGAACACTTGGGACCTTTCTCATAGAAAGACACCAAATTCCTCTTTCTGAAACAAGTACCTCAAACTGATGTTCTTGGCGAATTCTTGAATTTCAACAGTTTGTGTTTTATTAGGCATGACCTTATTATCCTTTATTGAGGCAAGAGGAATTCTGGCAGAAAATTAAACTCCTCCTGCCCCTGGAAGAGTGGGGCTTTTATTATTTGCGGCTTTCGTTTCAAAGTGAATCAAATGTTTGTGTGCTGTGACTTAAGGCTGACAGTATTATGTGCGAGAGCAGTAGTGGCAGACTCTTCATAGGAGTTTTCCCTTCTATTTGTTTTGATTCTCCTTCCATTCTCTGTTGCTTCAGCTGCTAGTCAGCTATTTACATATTCCTGAAAAAACAAAAACCAAACCTGGAAATTCGGAGGCTTCTGAAATAGATACCTGGGCTTTATTATTTCATGCCCCCCTCCCCAATTCCTTGTCATCTCTTCAGTTTGCTGGGTTATTGCTGAAAATTGTTTAGAATCATTCTACTTTCTTCCGAAAGTCGATCTTACTAAGCTAAGGGAGGAGAAGAAAGGCATATGACTCCCCAGTTGTTCTACATTTAGATTCTTCTTTCCTTAGTGTTTTACACTATAGCAAAAGAAAAACAAGCAAACAAAAAACCCCACTGGACCTTAGCTTTTATTTTCCAGTGACCAAATACACAATATTACAAAGGATGGCGAACTTAAATAAAGAAGAAAATCCAAAGTCAATTACAAATGGTTTAATAGACCATATTAAAGTAAGTACAGTATGTAAACCATTAAAATAAGTAAACAATTTAGAACACCAAAAATTGTTTTTGAATATATAGATACATACACATATATAAACACGTATAGCAGTGTCTAGATTCATAAACAATATATCAAATATATATTACATATATTAACTTAATTATATTGAACACCAAAAGTTGTTTTTGAATA